CTTTTACATTTCCCTAGAGTTGACTGGACTTGTGAAGTTTCCTTAAGTTCACTGGAGTTCTCTGGACTTTCCTGAAATTCCCAAATTTTTTAATTTTAACAGAAGTTAATGAAACTAACTTTGATTTTTCCGAAATTACCCTTACAGATCTTAAAACTTAGCCAAAAGTGTGAACTTTACTGAAGTTTCAGAATTTCTTAAAAGTTCATGCAGTTTTCCTGAAGCTAATTGAACTGCAATAAAACTTTGGACAAAACTGGCACGGAAGAACCTTTCAAGTGAAGCAAGAAGAAGCTTCCAATGGAAGTCGAAACAACTTTCTGGGAGGAATTGGCTAATAACAATCAGCGCCCTTAAATGTGGAATTGAAATCAATCGAAACGTTTGTTTGACAATTGTGTGCCTACAAATATGCTATAAAAACTTCAAAAAAGTACCGAGAACTACAGGAAAGTCTAGAGCATTGTGATAGTTTGAAGTTCTATAAACTTCAGGAAAATTTTGCGAACTTTGCATACTAGGGAACTTCACGACAGTTCCATCAATTGCATGAACATTTCAGCAAGTTTCATGAAAATTTCAGAAAACTTTCGGAAAGTTCAATGAGTGTTTGAAACATTTCTGATAACTACAGAGCATGAACAACCAGAAACATTTGGAAACTTGAGAGAAGTTCCGGAAACTTCAGGAAAATTTTGAAAACCTCAGTTCCGTTCGATACACTTCAGAATAAATACAGGAACTAACAAGATGTTCTAAGAACAGAGTCCACAAAATTTTAAAGAAGTTGGAAGTGCCTCCCCCCGTCAGTGAAATTTTGGGAACTTTGATAAGGTTTCTAGAACTTATGGACAAGTTAAGTTAAGTTTTCTTTATTAGGGAGGCTTTCAGCTTGAGGCTGATTCGCCTCCAGCCTAACTTATGGACAATTTTTAATAATGTTGGTTCCATTAGCACCAAAAAAATTGCAGGATGAAATTAAAGGAAGTTCCAAAGATTTCAGGAAAACTTCAGTGAAGATAAAAGAGCTTCATAGCATTTCCAGTCAGGAAAATTGAAAGAACTTTAATACTGAATTCACCAAAATTTCAATTAAAATCAAAGATCTTTATGGAAGTTACGTAACGTCAGGAAAATTGCGGGAACTTCAAAGTAGCTACGATAATTTCAAGTAAATTTAGAGCACTTATGGGCATTTCCTGTCAATTCAGAAAAATAGCCAAAACCTTTAAAAAGTTCAAAAAATTAAAAAATAATATCTTCATGATTTTTTTTTAGAAATTATCCAGAAGTTCCAAAAAATTCACGGAAATGTAGAAAACGTTGAGCAGTTTAGATAAAGGTATCAATTTTAGGACAACTCCAGGAACATCAACAGAAGAGTAGCGAGTACTTCAGGGATGTTCCAGAAGCTTAAGGTGAAGTCCACAAAAATCGTTGGAACTTTATAGAAGTTCCAAGGAATGAAAGGAGAAGGAACAGACTGCGAGATAGGGGAAACTTATAGAGCTTGAAGGCGATTCTATCTGCTTCAGGGATTCAGCAGGAACTTTTAAGAAGTTCTAGGAACTTCAGGTATATCCAGAGATCTTCAAGGAAGTCAAGAAAACTTCAGTTAAATCCAGATAGCTGGGAAAATCGTGAACAATTGGATGAAGATCTAAAAACCTTAGGGAAACTAGGTCTAGAAATCTTCAGGGAGACTCAGAGATCTTAGGGGCAGTCACAATAACTTCAAAAACGTTTTGACTTTCGTACACGTTAATACCTAGATCTTTGAAGGATAGTTTCGACAAATGAACGTTAGCAGAATTATAAGAAACATTAAGAAGTTCCAAGTATTTTAGGGATCCTGCAACATTTTAGAAAACATTAGACATCTTTTAGAAACAGTTCTGAGAATATCAAGGTAGCTTCGAGATTCGAGAACATTATGGAAGATCAGTGAATCTCAGGGCAGTTCAATTAACTTTTAGAAAGCTCCAAGATACTCTGGGAATTTACGAAAGCTTTAGCAATGTTCTTCAGGGAAGTCCAGAGAACTTAAAAGAAGTTTAATGATTTGTAAGCAGGAATATCTGAGAACTGCAGAGCAATTCCATTATCTAATTGCAGGAGCTTTCAAGAAGTTCCAAGAAATCATGGAATATTCCGAGAATTTCATGAATGTTCCAAAAATTTCTAGATATTTGCACGTCTTTAGGGGGGTTCCATTAATAGCTGGAAAACTATTGAACATAAGAGAAGTTGCAAGAACTTCTTGAAAATTTATGGAACTTTGGAGGAAGTATCAAAATCATCAGGAAAATTGTGAGAGCTTCAGGATAGATTAATGAATTTCAAGGCGAGACATGGAAAATTGTGGGTGCTTTAAAAATGTTCTGAGAAATTCAGGGACGTCTAGAGAATTTTATTGAAGTTCCAATTACTTCAGGGAAGCACCACAAACTGCATGAAAGTCTAAACGTTTGGGAAAGTGTGAAGATTTTGAATAATTAGTCATTTTGTTTCGGTTTATCACTGTTCACTGTTGAATATAGTATCATCATCGTCAACTTTTAGATCCAGGGTTAGTTTTAGTTTAATATTGTAAAGATGTTTACGCTGATCGAAAGACTAAATAGCTCTAAGCTCTAAGTTTACTCTGGGGCACTGGCTATGATCACCACACCAGAGTTGGCGGCGAACCTCGTCACTTAGCAATAGTCGGATGGAAGATACCCAAGTAACCAATAGTTCTGATAAAAGGCTATTGGTGGCTTAAGCGGCTTGGTTGAAGATGGTCTATACAATTCTAAGCAGCCTCTTTTTTTAAGTCGTTATAAGAACTTGAAAGTTCCGGTACCATAATTGAACAGTCTAAGCAGCTTCTGGCGGAACTTGAACGGAACTTTTAGAAAATAAATTTAAAAAAGGTTCTTTGTCCTCTACACCAATTTTATATTTAGTTTGCACTTTTATAAAAGTTAATTCTAAAGTCAGGTCTTTATGAAAGTTATTTATAAAGGCAGGTATGAAGTGTATTGGTGTATCAGTATTGGAGCTGATTGAAAAATTAAACCCAGTCCTTCTCTGAGATATATTAAAGTGAGCTGTTGTCCCGCCTACTATTGAAGTTTTCAGTGCCAGACTTGAATACGAAACACAAAACCTTGATGAACTTTAAATTGGTGTTTGCCCGCATGGTATTCCAACACACTTGTGGCGCAATGGTTAGCGTTCGTTGATCACATGCCAAATACACGGGTTCGAATCCAGGAAATTACTCTTTAGTTTTTTTTTAATGTTTGGATGGAATATTGATGCACTGCATAAATATAAGAATTTTGATTTATTTAAGCCACTGATCATTTCATGTTTTCGTACATTAATTTTTGTTCCTAAAAAAGACTTGTGCGTATTGCTTCATGTGGGCTATGATGGACCTTTTTAGAAACTTTCAAGTTGCTCAGAAGTTCCACAGGGAACTTTTAAGATACTTTAAAGTTGCTAAGAAATTCCGCTGGGAACTTTTAAAATACTTTAAAGTTGCTAAGAAGTTCCACTGTGAACTTGTTCGGAACTTTGTTGTTGCCATGTTTTCAGCCTTGCCTGAAGTTCCTGAGAAGTGCTTAGGGATGCTCTTTGGAATTTTTTTTTTAACTTCAAGAGCCTGAAGTTCGTTGTGTGCTTTCTATAGCTTCTAAAGTAGTCAGAAAGTTGTGTTGGAACTTTATATGCTCGTTATTGAACTTCAAAGTGGGTTTTATCGTTGAATGCGGAACTTTTGGTTGCTTGGGAAGAAAGTACTGTCAGAACTTTATTCGAACTTTATGGAACTTGAAGGTTCTGTCGGAACTTTATGGAACTTGGAAGTGAGTTTTATTGTTGAATGCGGAACTTTTGGTTACTTGGGTATTGCTATGCCGATTTTTCAGCTGTTAGTCATGATCATATATGTCAGTAAGATAAGTTTTACGTTTGAGGAGCTGGATTTTCCACACCTTCATCAGGATTCACCAATTTGGAACGAAAATTTTAAAATTTCTTGTGGTTCCAAAATGTCTGGGATCTTGTGAATTACTGTTTCATATGGCAATTAATTGGTAGCCCTATGCGGTTTCACAGATAAGTAACGAATTTTCATCCCATCGCTTGTGGGTGTATCACTCCTCGCTTAGTGATGTAGCATAGGACCATAGTCATATCACAATCTAAGCGCTGCGAGGAGTAGCAACACGACTGCTCTCAACCGGAGCCACGTGCATGTTTGTGTTTGTGGCGGTATACAACGGGGAGTCAAGGATCTGTGTAAATGTTGCGGAAACACATTTTCTCGGTGTTTTCCTCGCGCAATTTGTGGATTGAACTGAGATGAGAGATTCCTACAACCGCATGCCCCCCCCCCCTTAGGATCCGTCGGAGAGGTGTAGAAGAGTAGTGCTGCATGTGGTTGTGTGCAGAGTTCTACTATTATCAACATCAACAGCAGCAGCATCAAACGGAATCTGACTGAGGAAGTAGGGGCAGGAAAAGTAATGAATGAAAATTTTTCGACCGACGAGAGCTTTTCTTTCCTGGTGAAAATTTTTCCCTTTTCGCAAAAGATGAATGCAGTAGAGATAGTGATGCGTTGTGTTTGATAGTCGTGGGAAAATCCGTAGAAAGGGTTGATATGCTGTGTGATGTGACAGCGGAAGAGAGCAGGAAAACGGTCCAAATGAGAGTGAATGTGCGTACATGTGTTTAATCTTTGGATGGGAATCCATGAAAATTTAAACATAAAGTTGAATCGAGTCATAATAGCTAAGTGCACACTGGGGAGCCTTTACTCAACATGAAGGAAGCTCATTGTTTTGACTGGTGAATTTCAGGTGTATTTGAAAGAAAGGTGCATATTGTGAAGGATCACACGAAAGATTGTTGATTTGGTTGACAGAAAGTGGATAATGGAAGTATAGCGTGATATGCTATATAAATGATGTAGTATGACGTTCGTGATTTTTTGAAACATTTGTGTGTTTGAAGATGAAAAAAAGAGAATAGATTGTAGGTGATTACGGTCGAAGATATCACAAAAAAAATACGATTGTGCCAAGAAGCTGATAAAGTGGATTGTAATTAACCAAAGCAGTGGAAAGATAAGAGGAGCGAAGAAAAATGGAGCGTGTGTGGCGAAAAGTGAATCAGGGCCTTACGATGAGATCATCGTCAACGAAACATTCTCAGGCGGTGGCGTCAAGTGCCACTATGACTGGTTGTCTTCCGGTGCCTGGGTTTCAGCACTCTACGGATACAACGAGTTCTGCCGGTTTCGGTGAGTCACAGGTGGTGGCTGTCCAGCAGAGAAGGCGATCGAATCCATCGCAAGCTAGTGCTACAGCTTCATCTGATAAACGAAGACGCCGCCGGCGTCGCAGTCGACCGAACCGAGAAGGGTGAGTAGCACTATTGCTCAATATATACATTTTAGTTTGAACTTTGTTCAAAGTGCTGTAAGGTAATTATTTTTTTATTTACTGTTACTCATCTGATACTTTTGAAGTCTCAAGCGTATACTATAGTCAACTCTTCTTATCTCGATGTTATTTATTTTTATATTTATCCTTATCTCGATTTTATTTATTTCGATAATTCGCCTTACCCCGTTGATTTGGGCAGTCCATTTAGATTACCACGCATCAAATACTTCATATCTAAATATTTTCCCTATCTATGCCGATGAATCAATGTCTATGTTGATGATCAATCGAAGTACAAATTATTTTTTTTATGTTGATGAAAAACATCTAGGTCTCTGTTTTATACGGTTAAAGTAAACAAACAAGTCTCTCTTTTAATGCAAGAAAAACAAATAAAAAACATGAAAAGCCTCTAAATCAGTCGATATTCATGGGATCTTGGACTTTTTTAAAGTGCTTTTTTTTCTTCTGTTGGGGACCTAACACCACTGCGACCAGTAATTTGATCTATTGTAGTATATCCCGTGTCCTTAGTTTAGTGTCATTCTTCCATTTATCGCAAGGATCCGACTCTAATTGAAAGGTTCCGCTATTTATATCCTTCGGAGTGTTGAAACACCCTCCAACCCCTTTGTCAGTCAAAATTGGATTTCTTAGCACCAAAGGAATGACACGGATAATGACCATGCATCAGAACCCTAGTATTAATCACTTCAAACTAGGGAACAACGAATAAAAGATTAGGAATCACATAGATGAAGACTAGCTAACTCATTTTTTTCTTGTTTCAAGATCATCCTACGGAGGACAAAGCCGAGTCTTGTCACTATCAACTAGGCATATAAAGTAACAAGGACTAAGATGTGTTCCTTTGATTACTGAAAAATCCTGTTCCCCTAGTTTGAAGTAGTCAGGACTAGGAATCGGTGGTAGATCTTACATCCCGTAACGTACCACGAAAAGGTGATCTACCCACGTTACGGGGCATTGTAAAGTGCATTGCAACATGGTGATTATTTTTTATGATTTTGCATCATACAGTGCTGCCTTCCCGTGTTTGGCAACATGACTTCGTCAGTTATTTTGTTCCCCAGCTTTGTACTAATACTTTCTGGATAATTATTAACACATTACCAGACATCTTTGATCCCTCAGTAACGTTTTTAATTGAACTTACTGGTCTATGGAATTTATAGATAGAAACCAAAAAAACACGTGTGGCCAAATCAGTTCACTTTCACCTGTAGAAGCAGCAACAGTTGTGTCTCTCGGTGTCTTCTCCTTCTTCTTAATTCCTTTATTTAACGTCGGTATCTGTTTCGCAATCTAGTGCCAATTACCGACGGACATCGATTGCCATCCATTGACGGCAATCGAATGTACAGGGAGGCAGCTTCCACACCTGCATAGGATATCGCACCCATTCAACAACACACATGGGCCGGGACCAACGGCTTTACTTCCCTTCCGAAGGAAGATGTGACCAGGGATTTGTATGCCTCAGAAAAATTCCACCGACCTCGGCTGGGATTGAACCTAGACCGATTGGGGTGAGAAAGCAGTCACGCTTATCACTACACCACTGGCGCCGGCTCTCTCGGTGCCGATATCGCCAGTTTGTTTACTCGATCAAGTGATTGTTTCCTGGATCTCATCCATTCCTCTACAAGTTTAACGGAGTGAGTCGCTGTCAGCTCTACCTCTTCGAGGGATTCTCCATCGTACATGACGTTCCATAACACCGGGCCCAGGATGGAGCCTTGTGGCACTCCTGCGGTGACTCTAACGCATTTTTCGCCATCTTCTGTGTCATAAATCAACACACGATTCTGGAAGTAGCTTTCCAGGATCTTGTACAACCCTCCGGGGACTCGGAGTTGGTGTAGCGGGCGGGCTATCGCCCCCAGCACGCGCTGTTGAATGCGTTCTTCACGTCTAAAGTTACCACCGCGCAGTAGCGAATGCCCCTTCGTTTCCGATGGACCACCTCTGCCATCTGAATGACGTCACGGATGGTGTCCACCGTAGATCTGCCCTTGCGGACTTGCATACCTATTTTGTGAGGTAAGCACAAAGGTATACTCTGGGCACATCTGAACACTTTTCATTTTCATTTTGCAGCGTTTGGTGGGGCAATGGGAGCGCAAGTCAATCCAAAGCCGTGGATAAAGGAAGAGTAATGGCTGTCTCCCTGAGTGGACCCCCCGCATCCTAACTCCTGTGTTTCTATTTTCTACTGAATGTTATTAGACTTTCTGAATTTTCTTATTTAAGTTCATTTGATGATTATGATATCTCATTAGTCTAATTTAATAAATAATTGAAATTCCTAATTCACTTAATCATGTGCATGCTTTATTAAGTACCTGCACTTGTGCTTGTAATCTAAAATTAAACGTGTTTCAAGTACTTTTAACTTTGACCTATATTTATTATATCTTAGCTCGTCCCAGGTGACACCTTCAAGTGACTAAAATGCTTCACTTTGAAGTTAGTTTCCTAGATGATTTTTAAATTATATAGAGTATATGCTCCAACTACGCTTACACGTTTCCACTATGTCGTCCCACAAAATTACGTATGGATATGTCACAATAGAAGCACGCTACATTGGAAATCCCGAGTCATAGCTTTAACACTTATCCCAAATCAAAATGAAGCAAATATAAGATTAGTTACAATACTATGTACAAAAATGGTGTTCAACATTGTTCCCTGAGTAATACTTCAATAAAAACAAAAAGCTTGTCACGCAAATAGAAGGAGCACCGTTGGGCACTTTCTGAAATATTTCAATAGTATAATTCCCGTGCAAACCCAAATTAATAGAATAAGAGTGATTTGCGGAAAAAAAACCCGCCAGTATCGCACCGAACGTCAGTGCCTATACGTAAGTGTACTACGATGCGGCTCTTAAAAAAGGAGTAACAGGTGTGATAATATCACTTTAGGCTAGAACTTTGGTTCTCTCATGCAATGGTTCATAAGAGAGGGGAAGCTCAGTAATCCACATCGCATGCTCATGACGCTATTCTGCCACGGCATGAACCAACGATGCCGGACCTAAACCAACCGTCTCCAACGCTCCACTATGAAGCATAAGATTAGGTCCGCCCACCAACGTCCAGGTTAAAAACTAGCCAAAACGAGGGACATCTGTAGGGGAAATATGAACACGAAAATATCCTCGTCCAGACCGGGAGTCCGACTCGTTGCCTTCGCCATGAACTAATTGCGCCTTTATTGACTATTCTGTCAAGAGGATTGAAGCTTGATTTCTATTATTGTCTTAAATTATTTAATTCAGTTCTATAAATTAAGTGATCTGCAAATTCACCACTGTTCCATAATGCTAGGACTCAACTTTTACTTTCAATTTGCAATTTAATTGAAAAATTATCGTGGTCACGTCTGTTTTTTTTTCTCAGATATCGCCTACTTTACTATTTGGGACATAAAAAAACTGGAGCAGATTCGAGCACAAAATCCCGCAAATTAAAATTAAATTATACACTTAAGCATGACGTGTGAACACATCTGTGTCGCTGTTAGCAACCCGTTATGCCACTGTAGCTGCAAATCGTTCTCTGTTCGTTCGTGCCGTTTCCCGGAGCATATTTTTCCTTTGGCCTGCTGGGACTATCTCGCCTAGAATGTGACGATAGAACCAAATCGAGCAAACAAGCTGTTCGTTTGTAAACCGTAAGTGAGGGTTACTTTGCATCATAAAATTGCAGTACATTTCAAACGTTGTTGTTTGTATTTTTATTCAAATAGGCCTGAAAGACATTTACATTTTTAATACTATAAAATGCTTGAAAAATTTTGAGGCAATCAAATTTGAAACTCAAATGCATGATAATGTACATTTTCATAAATAAAAAAGATTTTTTCATTTACCTATCGTTTACCATGCTTGTATTGATATATTGTGTGATTCTGTGTGCCCAGTAGAGTCGAGAAAATATATACCCCATAAAAAAACGTAGACCGGAGAATCGAAACCGTTTCCTCCGGCATGGTTTTGCTTTATAGTTGCGCGTTTACTATCTAGGCGCTCAATTAAGGTGAATTTTACTTTGATGTGTTTGAAAAAAAAAAAAAAAATACAGTCATAGGTATCTCCTCAGTTCGATGCCCACTACCTCGATATCCAGTTATAGAACCATAGTAAATATGAGTTTCACGGCTGCGTAATAGCGATTTTGTATGGGATTGTTATTTTAAAACTCTTTGTTCCATTAATATAAAGTTGTAGAGAGTTCACAGTAAATCAAATTTATAAAAGCAATCATCATCTCATGTTAAAAGACGACTGCTTTTAGTAATTTGTAATGATGTGACGAAATAAAAACTTCGGGTACGAATTTTTTGGTAACCGCTCCAAAGTAAATTGCACTTCAACAAGAACTCTCAATTATACACAGGCATACGTTCCACCACAAACGTAATAAGATGAAGAATGTAAAAGATGAAAATGATGATAATTACTTGGACTACGAATGTGTTTAGTAAATAAGTAATAATACCTGTTTATACATGAAATTCACAATGCTTACAAAGAAACTATAACGTATTGTTAGCAGAAACACCAAAGTGAAAGTGATAATTATGTTCACTTTTCGTCAACTCACACGACACCAGGGAGCACTGATTGTATGCTGTAGAATCAGTGCTCCAATGTGGCCTGTGTGCCCGCCGAGTTGGAGAAAGAAAATCAAAAACTATGACCAGAGGTGTGTTGTTGATTAATCGTAGCTGTTCCCGTTTTCTCTTTTTGGCAGATTGCCATGTTGGGCCAGATAGGGGTAGACATGTTTTACCGACAAATCATGGCACTAGAGTCAGAGACATCCAGAAATGGGCTTGAAAATTACTTGACTTGTTTTAATTTAACTTGACTGTAGTTTTAATTATGACATGTTGCAGCTTGAAGGCGAAAAAACTTCGCAGATTTATGTTTTAGGATGTCGCAA